ATCTCCTGGTACTCGATTTCTCCGGGATTGTTACGGCTGTGGGAAAGGATGTCAACAGACTTAAAGTGGGAGACCATGTGATTTGTTGTTATCCTGTAAAAGCTACTTCCAAGGTTGTTCTCCCTGAGGATGTGTGCTTCAAAATAAAAAGGTTTCCATTCCTGAAGGATGTGCCATGTGCTTCTTACCTTGTCCTGATCAGGGAGATACTCATTTGCATGTTACCAAACACAACCAAACAACAGCAAAGTTTGAGCATCTTCTCGGCTGTTCGTGATTCAGCTCTGGTCAAGTTATTGACAATCATAGCAAGTAAATCAGGCTGGAGTGTTTTTACAGAAACTGAGATAAGTGGATTAGTCCAAAGTGCAAAGCAGTGCCATCTTTTAGTAATTATTCCCCCATTTGATTGTTCACTTTTGACAGAGATTGTCAGTGTTGCCAATGCATATCACACAATTGCACTGTGTGGCATCCGTGACCCAAGCTACTCTGCACTAGATGTATTTCAACAGGACTCTGAGAGGACTTGCTTCCAGACTCTTGAGATGTCCAAAATCTTCCAGAAGTCACGTCTCAAGGCACATGGTGCTTTTCTCCAGAAATGGCTAAAGGGAATGCACTTGCACAAAGTGTGGCCAACAATACAAAGCAGAACCTTTCAGATGGCACCCTCTGAAAGTATGCCTGCTCAGTATGTTGAGCATTCTGGATCTTATTTCAATGCAAGAACTGTGGATGTGATCACTCTGGCCGCAGATGACCCCAGGACCAAGATATCTGCCATCCCTTTGCGTCCAAGAGCAAGGCAGCTATTCTCGAAGGAAGGTGTGTACATAATTTCAGGGGGTCTTTCTGGTTTGGGATTTGAAACTGTTAAGTTTGTTGCACAGAAAGGTGGAGGATGCATTGCCACTCTTTCAAGGAGTGCACCATCTGAGAAGGTACAAGATGACATTAATGGTCTCAAAAGAAGATACGGAGTAAGAATTCTTACTCTTCAGTGTGACGTCTCTGCACAGAAGCAAGTTATGGAAGCCATTACCATGATTGCCAATCATTTTTCCTGCCATCCAATCAGAGGGGTTTTCCACAGTGCTGCTGTTCTCCATGATGGGTTACTGGAAACCCTTGATCGATCTCTTTTCCGGAAAGTCCTGCAACCTAAAGTCTGCGGTGCTCTTAATCTCCATCTTGCCACTCTGCACAGCAAGACACTCGATTACTTTGTGTGCTATTCCTCCATCTCCTCTTTCATCGGAAATGCTGCACAAGCTAACTACGCAGCAGCTAACTCATTTCTGGATACTTTTTGCCACTACCGACGTAATATCGGACTTCCAGGACAGTCTATCAATTGGGGTCCCCTTAAACTTGGCCTGCTAATGAACAAAGACAATTTTCAAAAGTTCCTGGAAACAAAAGGACTGATGATCATGGATGTGGCTGAGATCCATGAAGCACTAGAGCACTGCCTTTTGCTTGACAATCCCCAGCAAGTGGTGTGCAGATTTAATTTCAGAAACCTGAACAACCACGTCCTCTCCCAGAACATGTCTCTGAAGTTTCGTCTGTCTGCTTTAGTTGAGGAAGGACTAAAAAACAAAGATGCTGAGGATTCTGGCATAAGTGTTCAGTCATCAGTCGATGATTGTGTTCGAGTGATTCTGACTGAAATTTGCAGTGTTGATAGTGATGAGCTAAGTGATGAGACTACGCTTACTGCACTAGGGATTGACTCGATGTTGGCCATGACGCTGCAGAATCGCTTCTTTCAAGAGATGGGTGTAAATATTCCTCTTGTCGCTTTGCTCGATCCAAATTGTACGTTGTTGTCATTGACTGAATACTTAAAACAGAGCACCAATGAGGACTGTGAGATTTCTGTACATCTGTAATGCATACAGTCACTATAGTTGTTTTTAGGTTATTGAGGGAATTATATAGGGTGGGTAAAAGGTAACTAGGTGTCACAAATTGGTTATAAAGTCCATATTTCTAATACTAATTATTATGACAGATGCCTGTACTATTGAAGTAGTAAATATGAAATTCTATTTGCTATCATTTATTTAGACCCACTTTGTACTACCTTGTATATAGCCTGTGTAAGAGTGGTTTCATAAATGTAAATCAAATGAAATGCAACCTTTTTTTATTATTGCTATTTTGTAAATTTTGTTCAGCTAAAAAATCTTTTTATGTAAATTCATAACCTCAAAGTGAGGTAATTGTTGCATATCAATAAAGTTTTAATCATTTTTGATTACTTTATACCTCCCCAGTACAGCATTACCAAAAGAATCAGAGATCAAAGGTCAGGTATGTCTGATAATATTACTGCCAAATGCATAAATCCCCAATGGTTTTTATGAAGGCATGCTAGCTATGCACTTACAGACCCTTAAACAGAGCACTATACACATAAGGGGAACTACACATAGTAGTTATAATAGAAAACGACATTCTCCATAAATGATAATACTCATGTAATTCATAAACATGAAAAAAAAAATCGGAACAAAACAAGTGTAAAGGATTGAAGTAATCACCGTTCTGTTAATCCACTCTTGGGCAATCCTCTTTTCTCAATAAAAGCACAACAGCGTGTAACCTACACAGGCAAATGGTGAAAATATAATAGACATCAATCATTTTAACTCCTTTAGCCTGTCAACCAACACAAATCGGTTACATTTACTGTATTTAGTTGTGTCTTATAATGAACTTTCACATACCAAATAATCCAGTAGAAAATATTGAAACCATTCCATAAATAATCCGAAAGAAAGCTCTACAAAACTCACATTAACACAGATGATGGTTGAATATGCAAATGTGCATTGAGTTAGTTTATTATTTCACAAAATTAAGAAAAACTACATAAATGTACTTGTATAAATACACAACTAAATAGAAATATTCACATATGCAGCAGAATAAGACGTTCAAATATTTTCAGAGAGTGGCGCTCATTCATGAAACACAAGAACTATTTGTACTTGCATCATACATTCATTTATTGTCCTTCAGCTTAGTCCCTCACTTATCAGGGGTCGCCACAGTGGAACTGCCAAGTATTCCAGCATATGTTTTTTATGCAGCACATGCCGTTCCAGCCACAACCCAGTACTGGGAAACACACACTGCAAAAAATGCTTTTCTTGCTTAAATTTTTTTGTCTTGTTTCTAGTCTAAATATATAAAATTTCTTATATCAAGAAGCATTTTCTAAACAAGCAAAACATATTGTCTTTTTTTTTTTAGAAATAATAAGCAAATATTGAGTGAGTTTTTCCTTAAAACAAGCAAAATAATCTGCCAATGGGGTAAGCAAATTAATCTTGTTTTTTCTTTTGACGTAAGATTATTTTTCTTACCCCATTGGCAGATTATTTTACTTGTTTTAAGGAAAAACTCTCAAAACAAGACAATATGTTTTTCTTGTATAGAAAATTCTTCTTGATTTAGGAATTTTTAGATATTTGGACTAGAAACAAGACAAAAAATCTAAGTAAGAAAAGCATTTTTTGCAGTGTATACACCCTTGCATTCACACACACTCAAGACACTATGGTGTTTTTGTGGGGGAAACCCCTCACCAACACGGGGAGAACATGCAAACTCCACATAGAAATACCAACTAGCCCAGCCAGGGCTTGAACTAGGGCTGTGCGATTTGGGTAAAATATCAAATTTTTATTTTTTAAAGATATTGTGATTTAAATGTGATTTGCAGTTTAATTTTGAAGTCAAGCTTCAGCTCAATATTCTGTATCTTGGCTTCTTACTGCTAAAATGCAGTGAGTGTTAGTTAAAAAATTAATTGATTAATTAAAAATTAATTTCCTATTAACTAACCCCAACTTTTATTCAAATTTGTTTATAAATATTAAGTAATTAAACACTGATTTTTCTCTAGAGCAAACAGTAGTAAGTTATGGCGTTGGTTATCTCCTGGTGCTTTCAAGATGTTTATTTATACGGGCTGCATCCGAAACCGCCTACTGCTCAGTAGGTAGTTACTGCATTTGAATTTAAAAGTGCTACTCGGCCTTTAGAAAAGTGCGTTCTATACAGTATGAATGTGAGAAGTATGATTGAAATTCTGATGAACTACATTAGCCATTTTGTCATGGTCACATCAGTTGCGTCGCATCCCTCATATTCATGAATTCTCTCGCTGGGGATCATGGTATAGCACAGCGTGCAAGGGATGCGTAGTAAGTAGTAAGCCATCGGGTACTTCTCTCATACCAATATTCAAATTCTATGAATTTGGACATACTTCTCGGCTAACATACTGATTTTAGCGTTCTGTATAGTATGGAAGTCTGCAGTTTCGAACGCAGCCATGGTGTAACCACTTCAAACAACTCTGAAATTGTACTTTGCTGTTACTAGCTACTATATTGAGTGTCACTGGCAATACTTTTAGTTGACTTTTTAGCAAGACACTCCTTGTGCCTGTGGTGCTTTTTAGGTGCTGGTTGTTGTATTTCCTGTTGTACAATTCTGCGACAGTTATTACAAGTAACCTGTTTTTGTTTGGTGTCTGTGACTTTGAAAGCAAAATATTCCTATATTACCGACATGCTGTTTTTCTTTGATATTAATTTGTCTATTAATGATTCTGAAGCGGCAGACGCCATCATCCCACTTGTCCATGCTTTCTTGTTTACTTGTTTTATTATGGGCGTTCCCAGGACACCTCTCTCACCACCCGCTTCCTCAGTTATATTCGCGCACAGGCGACAGAATAGAGAGGGCGGCGTCAGCGACACCTCCATCAGCACCTGCATGTCCTCAGTTATATCCGCGCATAGGGCAGCAGAATAGAGGTCCGCGACACCTTAGTCAAATCCGGGCATAGGGCGGCATAATAGAGATGGCGCCGTCAGCGACACCTCCCTCAGCACCCACGTATTCCTCAGTTATATCCGTGCATAGGGCGGCAGAATAGAGGTCCGCGATACCTCACTTCATTTTTATAGCCGGTCACTTTCGTTTTTACATTGGGGTTGAGGGCGGCGTGATCGTCCTCTGCCTAGAGTGGCAGTTCAGCTTGCTCCGGCCCTGGGCGTTCCGCATAATTCGGTTGCACAATTCTGACTGGGCAGTATGAAAGTGTGCTCACTCAATTGGCTAGTAAGACCAATCCCTAGTAAGTCACACACAGACGGCAGTCACGCGTTTGCTCTGGGTGGGGAAAAATTATATAATCTATTTGTATTTCATATTGCAGCCTCCAGCGATTTAGCTAATCGCAACGTTTCAAATCACGATTCGATTTTAATTAATTGCACAGCCCTAGCATGAACCATCAACCTTCTTGCTGTGAGGCAACAGTGCTAACCACTGAGCCAGTATGCCGCCCTGTACTTGCATTATTTTTGCAATTAATTAAATAAGAAAATTGACTAAAACAGTTTTACAAACGATTCACACTAACTTGTGCTTGTGTTTCAGAAATGAGGTGTTACGAGTTATTAATTTAAGTTTACTTTTACTTTAAATATCTTGTAAACATTATTTATCTACTAACATTAGCAAAACCATCTACAGTAAAACCATTGGCCCATTTAAAAAATGCAATGTTTTCATCTTCCTGATTTAAATTTACATCAGTAATTTCATTTAAACATATAAAAGCTGGTGCTCATACAAACAAGCCATACGGTATTTAGAAGAAAATTAAGTATAATGATTTTACAAAATGGTCAACTCGGAACAGTTAGGAGTAGGAAGACCTGAATCTTGAATGTGGTTGCTGTTTCCCGAAACACAATTTTGTCCTTCGACACGCTGTTTTGATTGACAGTTGACTTTTAACATGACATCATCGGACGGTTCATACATGTGAACCTCATAGGTCTGACCGTCAACTCTGAACATTGGGACAGTGCTCGCCAAGCACACGTGATTATCCTGCACACTATGATTATTTCCGGCTATCATCCATATATCAGAGCAGGGCTGAGACGGACATGTTTGATGGTTGTCAGATTGGAAAGTGTGATTGTCATATATTTCCCGCTCTTTCACGTCACCATCCTTAGCAATGTTATTGGTGTAACTCTTCTTCATGGCTTGCTCTTCCGGGCCTGATTTGTTTTCAGCCGGCGTTCCGTTACACATATCAAAGAAGGTCAAGAAAACAGGGATGAAAGTCAAACCATGGAAGAGCCCAAAGAAGATGACCAAGAACATAATTTTAAAGAAAGTCCTAAAAATGTAATTCTTGGACGCAGACAAGACAACCACCCCAAGAATAGTGGACACAGCACCCTGCAAAATGGGGTATCCTAAATTAAACAAAGCCTCCACTGCTTTTTCGTTCGCACTGGGCTTCTTGTTGGATACAAAGGCATATGAAATATGAGCAGAAAAGTCTACGGAGAACCCAATGCAGACGACAAGAATGATCATGGAAATGGTGTCCAAGTTGACATCCCATAACGCCATGAACCCAGTGACTCCGACGATGACGGATGCAATGGAGAAAGTGACCCAAAGGGAGCACAGAGGATTCGGGATGAGGAGAAGGGAGATCAGAAGCATCACGGCTGTGGTAACCGCAATGTTTTGGATGGTGTTGGTGACTATGACCGCATACTGGTCGTGGTAAATGAAGGCAGGGTGGTACACCAATAAGGGAACAGGGCACTTTTGGGCAGTGTCTCGTAGTTTATTTAACATGTTCATTTCATCCAGGGCAGTGGAGATGTTTACGGTCTGTATGAAAAACCGGGACGCGTGGATGGAGTTGTTGGTGAAGTTAACGTCCTGTTTGAAATCAGAGTAAAACCGTAGAAACGTTCCCAAATTCTCTTTGAAGACGTCTTCTGCGCTCAGATTGAGCTTCGTGTGATATCCGTAGTACTTGTAGGATTTAATCCAGGACGTGAATATGTCCTTTTCGATGAAGGATAAGTTTTTGAAGTCTTCGATGCAGGTTTCTAGATCCGACATGTACTTTTCATCCCAGTATGGAAATTCCTGTCGGATGACAACCATGATGTTTGGGCCGTATTCGGAAAAATACGCCTTCTCGTTATCGTAGTATTTTACCACGTAGGAATCGTCAGCCGCCAAATTGCGGAGATCGATTCCTTCCTGAATCTGAAAGCAGCCGTAAATGCTGACGATTAAATAGATGCAATAAAAGACGATCACAAACACCTTCGTCCAGGATTTGGTCAGAAATGGGCCGTAGTATTTTTTGAAGAAGTGATTCATGGGTTGGACCTCCTCTGAGCCAGTATGGCGGTCGTAAGCTCCTCCAATGCAACATAATTCGTACCATTTTGACTGTCCTACAGCACACTCTTCGGGTACTTCTTTGCAGGTCAGCCAGTGCTTGTTGCTGTTCTCCCGCCGTCCGTTAAGGACGAGGAACGCTCCAAAAAAAGTGATGCTGTAGATGTAGCAGAAAAGGATGGAGGTGCTGGTGTACAGGCAAAAAGAGCGGACGGAGCGGAAAGGCGTCATGAGGCCGATGTAGAAAGCGAGTACGTCTGTGAGAGTGGTGATGGTGATTGAAATGGCCGCCTCTTTGTATGTATTAGACAGGCGAGTCTCCACTCGATCGTGAACATTCGTCTGCTGCCAACAGGAGATGAGGATGAACATGTCGTCTACTCCAATCCCTGTTTATAAAAACATCAAAATGTTCATGGTTAATCTGACAATATACATTTTGGGCTGCATAATAAATTGACGTAAAATCGTACTTATGATTTATTTTGAAGATTCAACTGAGGTTAGGAAGTGAGTACAAATGTAAGTATAAGAGCAATTCCATGCGAATGTCGACCATAATTACACTTTCACCTAAATAGTGAAATATTTCTCATGTGATACTTCAAAAATGTACATGTAGTAAATTTACACACAATGATTGAAGCCCAGTTAGACCCAATGCCAATTCTAACCCTTAGCCCTTACCCCTACCCTTCGATTTGCTTGTTCACATGATGTGGTAGGGGTGTCCTAGTTCTCTTTAGCTTGAAGGCATAGGCCTAAGGGGAAGGGCTTGATAGTCATTGAGACTTAGATTTTCCAGGACCACACTAGAAACCATTCATTCATTTTCCTTCGGCTTAAGGCTGATTTATACTTCTGCATTAAGCGAATGTGTATTGTCAGGCACAGCTTTCATCTGGTCGCATAGCCCTTGGTGTAGCTGAAACAGACACTTATGCGCACCTCTCAGAAAAATGTAACTACACGTCGCAACATTTTGCGATTGGTCAGCTTGGAACCGGTGACGAGCGTGGGCAGTGTTGAGAGCCGCCAACCCCATAGAGCGATTGTTTACAAGTGTTGAGTCCTGTGAAGGAGCTTCAGATGGAAACTTTGGTTTTGTGTTTACCTTATGATTAAAGTTGTTGCATGTCCGGCGGTTCCTGCCTCTGAATAAGTGAGTTTAAGCTACTTGTAGCGTTCAGAATAAACTTAAAGCCCGTGAAGAAATTCAACACTGAGAAATATAATAAACCTACTGCCAGCTAGCATTTCGGAAGTGTTATTGCAGAACAAAACAAACAGCGCACAGAAGTATTAATGCACGACTGTGCGCAAGGCAGGCGCCATGGATCAAGCCGATCACTCGACGCAGAAGTATAAATCATCAGGCGTCGCCACAGCGGAATGAACTGCCAATTTATTCAGCAAATGTCTAACACAGTGGATGCCCTTCCAGGTGCAACTCAGTACTGGGAAACACCCATACACTGACGCAACTTTGTACTGGGAAACACCCATATACTGACATTCACACATATGCACTACGGTCAATTTAGTTCATTTAGTTCACCTATAGCGCATGTCTTTGGACTGTGGGATAAACCGTAGCTCCAGGAGGAAACCCACGCCAACACGGAGAGAACATGCAAACTCCGCACATAAATCCCAACTGATGCTGGGACTCGAACCAGCGATCTTCTTGCTGTGGGACGACAGTGCTAACCACTGAGCTACCCATGTCAACCACTAGAAATTGGGATTGGACCTACATCTTGGAGGTCCCGAGGGTGAGTAAATGAACTCCAAATTTTTATTCTTGAGTGAACTATCCTTTAAGAATTATTTAGCAGTGGTTTATAGTGCTGTGTAAAGTATTACCTAATATTAGGAATGGAGAATTAGCAACTGTCATGACAAAAGGGACTCCAATGTGTAACATCATGCCGAAAGAAGACAACACAGCCAGTCCAGCAGAGAAAACCCCAAATGTTGCAACCCACACTTTGTTTCTGACACAGTCGAACCTGAAAAACAAAACAAAAAACTGATTTTTAAAGGATTTCTCGCAGGTAAATACAATTGTTTGTCTATCTATTACTTAAATGTCTTTAAAACATATTTAAATAATTATGAACAAATCATAAATGCTGTATGGATTTGAATGAATCATTTCTGTTTCCTTTTACAGAGCTTTTTATGTGACAAATAAAAAAACTGGACCAGATGCGAAAGGTGAATTAATAATCATATATATCTGACTGCATTATAATGATTTTCATATTTGTAAAATGACCAAAGATCAACTATGTGGTCATGTTTGACAAATTCAGCAATGCACTTTTAATTCGTCTCTGCTAAAATAAACCAAATAATTAGTTTGAATATTAGCAAAAAAACAGTAGAGTTGATGATCCAATACTTTTGATCACTCTTCAAACTCTATTCCTACAAACAATTAATCAATTGAAATATTGTATTACATCAGGAGGAAGAGTCTACCATATAAACTCATAAGCTAAATACAATAGTGAACTAATCATACCTCAAGCAAGAAAGAATGGAGAAAGCAATAGCGATGACGTAAGTGATGGAGAAGAGAGGAATGACATCTTTTGTGTTTGCCTCAAACTCCACCTGCCTTGACAAAGATGTGGAGTGGGTCACCTGAGGATGCACAATTATCATAATCGCATCGTTATTTCATCATTTCAGCTCATAGGAGTAGATAGATCACAAGAATGAATCTCTAACTAACTTCAGTATAAAAAGAAAACAGCTGCAATACTATTAATTTAAATTAATGTAATGTTTTCACTGATAATATATATGAATATACTGTCTTTATATTACTATTCTATAAATGTGGCATAATATTATTGTCCTTTAGAGCTATTTTCTTTCCCTAATTTGTCTGAATGATCAATGTTTTCATTTGTTGTGATTTGAAAATCTGTTATTTCAATGAATATTGATTTTAAAGCATTGGAATTGTGTTGTCTAAAATTATTAACATTGCACTTTTTTGTTAATTTATGCTAAATGTTTTAAATGCTCAAAGTTGTGTTTGAGTAAAATATTTTTTATGGTTGACAGTAGCCTAATTGTGCAAAGGAGGATGGCATTTCCTACTAAATTTAACATAAATTGCTTTTATTTTAAAATATTTTATTTATAAAGTTTTTATAAGCACAAAACAGAACAAATAAATTTTTATACAATCTATAATGCTTTTTATACAAATGATAACAAAAAAATACAGAAAAAATAAATGGGTAAATTAATTAAATAAAAACAATAATAATTGTAAAAAATAAATAAATAAATAAATAAATAAACGAGCACCTGTCCATCCAAATATGCACCATATAGAGGAAAATAACATACACCATCAAGTTCTACTTGGTCAAACTCAAAACATTGAAAATAAAGTGGAAAAGTAAGAGTAAAATTGTCCATGAATCATAAGTGTCCTACTTTCAACTCTAAAGAAAGATAAGCAAGAGGAGGCCCCAGATTGTTTCAAACTTTTTAGAAGCATCTGCCCTACAAAACTACTTATTTCAAGCTTAAGAGCAGCAATCATTTCAGTCGGCCATTTATGAAAAGTAGTAAAGTGGACTTGCAACCCATCAAGATCACCTTGTTAGCCACCAAACATAATAGACATGCGCTGATTATGTGACCATGCTGACATGTGCAGAGCATCCTAACAGGGCTAAGTCAATATCTGGACTAATGTTTTCTCCTAAAACATTTCAAGAGTTCCCACTTGGATATGCTTAGTGTTTATAGCAGGTTTGGCATGCTGTCCCGGGAGAGAACCCTGAGCTTGGGGATACTTGAGCCCAAGGCTCCCGCCCAGTCAATGAGCATATAAGGGGATCCAAGATCAGGTAGGTCTCAAGAGCTCCCCCTTGGAAAAGGAGGAGATGGGGTGGAAGGGGGGATTCTTCCAAAACGAAGGTAGAGCAGTAGGGAGAAAATGATCCATTTGTTGTAAGCTAGGATCACTGTTGTTGGATTATTACTGATTACAGATGAGCAGCCAGTCATGCTCAATCATATCACATGCTCCTCTCGAAATTAGTTAATGAAACTTCGCTTAAATAAAACTGAAAAATATTCTTCCAAAACTCTCAGGGCAGAACCAAAAAGTGTGAGCATATGTTTCCTCTAAACTCATCTGACACATAATGGGGAAACTGAAGGGAAAATTGTATTGAGTTTAGTTTTGGTGTAATGTAGCCTATATATGTACCATTTTAAACTGTATGAGCTGTAATCTTGTGTTGAGAGAGCAGGTATGAATTCGCTTTAGCCCTAGTATTAGTTGCCCGATAATAATGGCGAAAAACATAGTCTTTTTGCATAAATTAACGAAAATCTGTCATCTTTTCATACATGCATAAATAAAATTTTAGACAATACCAAAGTTTTATTGTTAGTTAAGAAGGAAATATTCATTAAATAATACTGATTAATTATTATACTGACCAATTGTGGTTTTAAAAATGGGAGGAAGGGAGAGAATATTTAATGTATATTACAGAATGAAATAAATATTTTACATTTTACACAAACATGTGTAAGTCCAACAACTCAAGGCTGTTTTAATCCAACATTAGGCCAAATAAGTATAAACCCAACCCTTAGGTTACAAGTGTTTTCTTTTTAATATACCTCAAGTTTGGACAGAGCTGGGTAAAACTGATTTTTCTTATTGTGCACATTGGGCATGGAATATTAGCATATCTATATATATTATGTTAATATTATATATTAGAGTAACATCTATATATAACTGTTTTTCAGTGAGTTTAAAGGCATTATAAATAGATCAGTATTGGAAGCATGCGATTGTTTTTGTTGAGATGATTGATGAAATGTTATGTGGTGTTTGTGTATTTATTGTTTTACTGTATGGCTGTTACCTTGCCCATGTCTGTCTTGTAAAATGGTAAATTTCAATGAGACGTCCTGTTTAAATTATAATAAACTAAAATAATGTAGACTAACTATAATGTAATTGAAAATAATTTGTCCACATCTGACCCAAAACGTTGGATTAAAACAACCCAGAGTGTAAAACTGCCCAAAATTTAGCCTCGTGACAAGTAGCTTAATAACCAGCAGGCCTACATGAATAAAAGCTGACCTACCTTTATGGAGTTTAGCGATAAATTAGACGGGAAAACCTTGAGGAACTCATTCAGCCATAAATCAGTTCTAGTACGATTATCCTCCTTTAGAAAATAAAACAGACGCACTGACTTTGCGCTTTTAATAATGGAAGAGTTCAAATTCACTCCACCGACCGAATAACCCAAGAAAATGTAGGAGAATCCGAAGCGGAAGAACGGAAAGGAGAGCTCGGTGGCCTCCAGATTCTCTCCGTAATACTTATGGATGTCCAATATCTTATTGGGTATGCACTTCTTGTATCGTCTTGCGCAAAGTCCCTCAAAAGTAAGCACCTCGTGACCCGTGGACACATTCAGCTCCTTGACTTTCCTGTCTAAAATCACTATCTCCCGAAAAGCAGCGTCTGTGAGGATATTGGAGGATTTAGTCACGGCTATGAAGGACGCGTAAACCCCGTCCGTGTAGAGCCTTTGGTTGGAGAACAGCGAGTCGTTCTGCGGAAAGTTCTGCTGCACAAAGCGCCTCTCCTGCTTGGCAGGACCGTTTACAGGTGTGAACTGATCCTCAATGTCATTGGCTTCACGATCTTCTAGAAGGCAAAAGCCAGTGCCTAACACAGCAGAGATGAGCAGGGGAGAGATGAAGAACCACCAGGGGTAAGTGCCCACAAAACGGCCGAACTTCTGGAAGCAGATGGAGATCGGCTTCTCCACGCAGTCTGTGGTGCACCCAGCCATGTTCACCGGCATTTGGAAAGATTAAAAAGTGGAAAAAAAGAAAAGTTTTATGAGGAAAGGCTGTGGTAAGTTAATTATAAGAACGCAGAGCTTATTTACTCTGTGTGCGAATTTAGTTTAAAACATGTAAAAGTTAAACTAACTATATAGGCTAGACTATTTTGGTTTAAACAGAGCTGCATTATGCATGCCGAGTATCTTAATATCCTTGCGCATTTTTGTGTGTCAAAATCTTAAGGCACAAGCCAAGAGCGACCACTGACGGACGCCTGGAAATATATTTAAGGCAAGGTAAGTTTATTTATATAGCACATTTCATTCTCAGTGGTAATTCAAAGTGCTTTACATAAGCATGAATAAAGGAGACAAGTACAAGAAAATAAAAACAAAGAATAAAAATGATTAAATTTAGGCAAAATAAGAACAAACGATGATTAAATCGGTAGTGTTTATTTTTATCTTCTGTACATTTAAAATAATCGTCAGTGAATATGAATGCATTGTGCATGAATACATATTTTATGCACATGAAACATTATTTAGCATTTATTATTATACATTTATTATATTTATTTGCTTGATTATCATTTGCACTTACAAATTATAATTATTTATTCATACGTTTTTATTGATTAATTTGATTGTGTAAATATTGCAGTTTTATCTTTGTATAAGTTAGTTTAGCATTTCATAGCATTTATTTCTGCCAAACATTAATTTATAAGCATATTTTTTGACAATAAAAATTCTGTGTATTAATTCATTAAATAATTAAATGTCATTTTTAAATGAGGTGTTATCCATGTTGACATCAAGTTTTAAAAACAATATATTAAATATTTTATAATAAGCTACTTTTATATATTTTAGGTCAGAATAAGTTTAAATTTATTTTTTAAATAATTTTTTTTTTACATTTGTTATGCTAATAATGTTGATGGAACAATAGTACACCAATACTTTCGCATTTTAGTTTCATAAAAGTTTTTTTTAAACTGTCAAGTACACTGTAAACCGAAATAGTTAAGGTAACTCAAACCATTTGAGGCAACCGATTGCAACAAACCATTTAAGTTCAAAAACTGATCCTAATGAGTACTGTCAACTTAATCCATTAGAGTAAACAAAACAATTTGAGCACAGTAAAACTCAATAAGTTAAGGCAACTCAAACCGTTTGAGGAAGCAGATTGCTACAAATCATTTGAGTTAAAACACCTTATCTACATACTGAGTACTGTGAACTTACACCATTTAAGTTGAAGTAATGAGGTATTTAATTAACTCATTACCTTGAACACTCAGTTCAAAACTCTTCATATGAGTAGAATTAACTTTCAGTAGATTTTGAGTTAACTATACTCATTTCATCTGATAAAGTTGACTGTTGGGTTTTACAGTGTAAATAACACTGTTTTGTACTTAGTAAGTTAAGGCAACTCAAACTGTTTGAGGAAACCAATTGCTACAAACCATTTGAGTTTAAAAAATAATCTATATGAGTATTGTGAACTTATTCTATTTAATTCGAAGTAATGAGGCAATTAAATTATCTCATTACCGTCAACACTGAGTTCAAAACTCTTTTCAATTGAGTACAATTAACTTTCAGTAATTTTTGAGTTTACTACACTTATTTAATTTGATAAAGTTGACTGTTGTGCTTTACAGTGTATTATGTGTGTTGATATCATCAAACATTATAACTTAAACATTTTAAATTCAGTTATCAAATTACTATGAGTTAATTTAACCTGAACGAATTAAGTCCCAACATAGCTACTCAAATGGTTTGGTACTACATTTAGCATCAGAGTTAACCCAAAATATATTATTAATTCATTCATAGCTCATTTGGTTTGAGTTCTGCCTAATGTAATCTCTTCATGAGTTGCCATAAATCTTTTTAATTCAGTCAAAGTAACTCATAAGTTAAGTTAAACTAACTTATTTCATATAGCGATTTTTACTGTTAGGTTTTACAGCGTGTCTACTTTAAATGATTTTTTAAGCTAAATGTATATTATTCAGCAATGATCTCATGATATGATCTTTAACATTCTTTATTTGGTAAGAATCATCCTAAAAACATTTAGCTGTATAGGACAAATGATGATATTTGGAGATTACAAACATTTCTAAGATCAACAATTGTTTTTGAGGTCTTCTAAGCAACTCAAGAATAATGCATAAATTGTTCTTCTATGGCGTCAATGTGTAAAACATCTTTAGTTCCTGTTGTAATCTCATGAGTTAATAAATTTTTAATTGGCAAACATATTACTATAGCTAAACTACAGCTCATATGATATACGTTAGAAATATTGACTGAATGTTTTTAAGTTGTACTCACGTTTACGTTGTGGTTTCTTCTCATTTTGCTCCATCAGGACAGAATGATGAGAATCAGAAAGACACACAAGTTCATTACTGAACACAGAGCGCCATTCATGCCTTTCAATGAACTCGCTGGTTAATTGTCCTGACAAAAGTGCCTTCCACTCTCATAGCGCTTGTGATTTGGCAGCAGGATAATTAAGAGCCTCAGATTATCGCCACTCAACTGATATATTGGAACAACTCATAGTACACCAAAGAGTTGAATCTGCATCTGCTTTAATGTTTTCTATCAATCAGAGACATGATAACAGCACCCGATTCATGAGCAAGCTGAATCTTGTCAGTTAACCCCTTGAAAGAAATGAGTCAGAAGAAAGTCTCCAGTTAATGATTCACTGATTCAAATGACCCGTTCAGTGCAAGTTTCCAGTTAACAGCTAACTAAGTCAGAGCAAGTCTCCAATAAACAATTCTTTGATTCAAATGATCTGTTTAGACATAGTCAAAACAACTAGCTGATTCAGAAGCATCTCCAGTAAATGATTCACTGATTCAAATGATCCATTCAGAGCAAGTCTCCAGTTAACAACGCAGAAGCAAATCTCCAGTAAATGATTTACTGATTCAAATGATCTGTTCAGAGCAAGTCTCCAGTTGACAGCTGACTGATTCAGAAGCAAGTCTCTAGTAAATAATTGACTGATTCAAATGATCTGTTCAGAGTACAACTCCAGCTAACAACTGACTGATTTAGAAGAAAGCCTCCAGTAAATGATTCACTGATTCAAATGATCCATTCAGAGCAAGTCTCCAGTTAACAATGTCAGAAGCAAATCTCCAGTAAATTATTCGCTGATTCAAATGATCTGTTCAGAGCAAGTCTCCAGTTGACAGCTGACTGATTCAGAAGCAAGTCTCTAGTAAATGATTGACTGATTCAAATGATCTGTTGAGAGTACAACTCCAGCTAACAACTGACTGATTTAGAAGAAAGCCTCCAGTAAATGATTCACTGATTCAAATGATCTGTTCAAAGCTCGTATCGAGTTAATAATGATATATACAGAAGCAAGTCTCTGATAAATGATTCAGAGTCAAGTGATCTATTCAGAGCTACTTTCCAGTTAACAACTGACTGATTCAGAAGAAAATCCTCCAGTAAATGATTCACTGATTCAATTATCCATTTAGAGTATGTCTCCAGTTAACAGCTGACTGAGTCAGAGCAAGTCTTCAGGAAATGATTCACTCACTGTGTTCAGAAGGGATCATCTCTATACCCTAATCTCTTGAAGTAACCTTCCGAAGTGTCAGTTTTGACTATTAGAGCATAGTGTATAAGCTATTCGAGAATAATCAGAAATTCATCAGTTGTACCTGTTGAAATCCTTCATACAAACCTTCATCCTTCATGAAGGTCCCTTCAAAGTGGCCGTTTTTGAGCCCTTCGATTTGGAACAACACTTGAATATGGTGGCCATGATTATTTTCACTTTAAACTGTTCTTTGGAGGGTGAAATATCCTATTTTGAATGCACCTACTGATTCAAATGATCTGTTCAGGGCAAAAAGATTCACTGATTCAAATGATCAATTCTAGTTAATGACTCACAGATTCACAGACACAAAGTCTGCTTCGCTTGCCCACTGTATAAACACTTGAAATGGATTTTTTTTTTGATAGGGTAGGACATTTGGACATTTTTTGATGACCTAAATGAGGTAGATTTCAGTTAAAAACCGAACATAATGTTACAATAGCAGAAATTAGCGGCCATTTTTACCTGCGGCATGTAACAGATACCAGTTGTAAAACTAGAAGTCATACATTAGACTTCTTACACATATTTTGCTCTGTTATGCTTTTTAATTTTTGTATATCTTTATTTGTGGGTGACAGAGTGGCTCAGGGGTAAGCATTGACGCCTCACAGCATGAAGGTCACTGTTTCGAGTCCCGGCTGGGTCAATTGGCATTTCTGTGTGGAGTTTGCATGTTCTCACCGTGTTGGTGTGGGTTTCCTCCGGGTGCTCCGATTTCCCCCACAGTCCAAAGACATGTGCTATAGATGAATTGGGTAAACTAAATTGGCCATAGTGTAAGAGTGTGAATGAGTGTGTATGGATGTTTCCCAGTACTGGGTTGCAGCTGGAAGGGCATCCGCTGTGTAAAACATATGCTGGATAAGTTGCCGCTGTGGCGACCTCTAGCAGAAAGAAAATGAATGAATGATTTATATTTGTCAGCACACATTTAGTTTGATTCAACGTTTGATCGATTCATTCACTAAGAACAGAGCACATAAATCAGTCCACAAAAGTGCAAAACACAATAGAAAATAAGTCAGGATAAAATCAGTCTGTGTTTTTTTTTTGCTTCAGTTTTTATCAGTGGCTGTTTTACATAAATGCAATTAAAAATGCACAAAACGACCCTTTAGCCATGCAAATTTTCCTTCTGATGATTATAATGTACATTTTTGCTGTCCACTAGGTGGTGCTAAAGATGCTTTTTACATACCATTGCATTGCATTATATAGGGCAATGAGCGGTTGTCATGGTGACCATGTCATCGGATGGCAGAGCTGATTAGAGGCTGCCATGGTGACTGGGTCAGTCAGAGGGCAGAGGTCTTTATCTGATTGATTTCTGATTAAACTTTAAATATAACGCTTTATGACGGCATTCATAATTCACCTTATAAATATTTGCATTAGTAACTGTAATCAAAGTTAATGTATTATGTGCAGACTCCTTTTTACATTGTAAGATGACGCCTCACAGCAAGAAGGTCTCTGGTTCAAGCCCCGGCTGAGTCAGTTGGCGTTTCTGTGTGGAGTTTGCATGTTCTCCCCGTGTTCGTGTGGGTTTCCTCTGGGTGCTCCGGTTTTCCTGACAGTCTAAAGACATGTGGTGCAAGTGAATTGGGAAGGCTAAATTGTCCGTAGTGAATGAGTGTGTGTGGATGTTTTCCAGAGATGTTTTGTGGCTGGAAGGGCATCGCCTGCATAAAAATGTGCTGGATAAGTTGGCGGTTCATTCCGCTGTGGTGACCCTGGATTAATAAAGGGACTAAGCCGAAAAGAAAATGAAAGAATGAATGAAGTTTCACTGGATTTACAATTATACACTATCGGTCAAAAGTTTGGGGTCAGTAGGATTTTTAAATGTGTTCAAATAAGCTTCTTCTGCTCACCAAGCCTGCATTAAATTAATCAAAAATACAGGACAAATTGTAAAATTGTGAAATGTTATTGCAGTATAAAATAACTGTTTAAAATTAGTTTACCCTTTAATTCAAAAACTTATTCCAGTGATTTTTCAGCTTGTCTTCAGAGTCACGTGATAATACAGAAATCACTGTAATATTAATTTTTTTTGTTATTATTATTATTACTATTATTATTATTATTAATGGTAAAAGTAATAACAAGTACTGACCAGCAATAATGACTGGAGTAATAATTTCATTTGAAACTACATACAATATGTAATAAGTAAATATTTAATATATATATATTTTTTTATAATATTCAATAAATGCCTCTTTGATGAACAGAAATAAATTATTCAATAAAATTAATAATAATAGAAAAAACGACCCCTAACTTTTGACTGTTAGTGTGTGTGCTTGTAAAACACATTTTAGTTTTGATATTTCTTCAACATTTACACTAAAAGATAATTATACACAACACACAAATCCATTCATACTGTAAAGAAAATGAATCTGAATGGAAACATTCTTTTCTTGAGTCGTACAAAAGTATTTATTGCAAATGTTTAATTAAACGTATTCAAAAATACATGAAATACACAGAAGTCTAAATTCGCAGTGCAATAAAATGTACCTGAAGTTTTGTTTATGAAATGAACTCACTCAGAGCAAAATATACATTATAAATTGTGCATAATGTTTTGAGCCCATCCTATGGGTTTATCATTAGTAGTCTATTTATTAGAGAATGTTTAAGAATGAATAAACTATTAGTATTTCTGTTTTGACTGATTGGTCAGTCTCGAGCAGACGTAAATAATGCTTAAATCATGATCAGAAAAGAAAAGTTCTCATTCCCATGTGATGTTGAGCATCCTGCAGCTGAGCTCCCAGAGCCGCTGAGCCACTTCATCATCCATCGCAGCCTTCGCAGCTTTAGCAGGAGCACAGTCACTGAGAGAGAGAGAGCAGAAAACCATTAAAACAACACACACACACACACACACACACTGCAGCCCAACACGTGAAAAGTGAATGAGTGAGAAATAAATAAATAAAAATAAATGCATATGACACATGCATGCATGGACTCACACATCTATCTATCTATCTATCTATCTATCTATCTATCTATCTATCTATCTATCTATCTATCTATCTATCTATCTATCTATCTATCTATCTATCTATCTATCTATCTATCTATCTATCGATAGATAGATAGATAGATAGATAAATGTTACAATAGAAAAATAGTCATACAGTACATGACTAAATAAGACTGCTATATTGTATTTTCACTGTAAATGTATTAATTTATTAATATTTTTTATTTATATTTTATTCTTTTCAAAATTAACTTATTTGTTTTCTGATTAGTTTATTTATTTTTATTTATATGTAAAGGTTTTTATTTTGTAGATAAAGTGTATGTTTAATTATATATATATACACACACACACACACACACACACACACACACACACACACACACACACACACACACACACACACACACACACACACACACACACACATTTAATCAGAATTATTAGCTCCCTTTTGAATTATTATTTTTTTTAATATTTCCCAAATGATGTTTAACAGAACAAGGAAATTTTCACAGTATGTCTGATAATACTTTTTATTCCGGAAAAAGTCTTATTTGTTTCATTTCGGTTAGAATAAAAGCAGTTTTTAATTTTTAAAAAAATATTTTTGGGACAAAATTATTAGCCCCTTTAAGCTATTTTTTTTTTCGATAATCTACAGAACAAACCATCGTTATACAATAACTTGCCTAATTACCCTAACCTACCTAGTTAACCTTATTAACCTAGTTAAGCCTTTAAATATCACTTTAAGCTGTATAGAAGTGTCTTGAAAAATATCAATTAAAATATTATTTACTGTCATTATGTCAAAGATAAAATAAATCCATTATTAGAAATAAATTTTTAAAACTATTATGCTTAGAAATGTGTTTGGGAACAATCTTCCCTCCATTAAACAGAAATTGGTGAAAAAAATAAACTAAATAAAATAAAATATTTTTTCTCCAGAAGAAAAAATATTATCAGACATACTGTGAAAATTTCCTTGCTCTGTTAAAAATAATTTGGGAAATATAAAAAAAATAAAATAGTAAAATCAAAAGGGGGCTAATAATTCTGACTTCAACTGTATATATATATATATATATATATATATATATATATATACTCAAACATTAATGCATCAAAACAATAAATAGAAAAATAAAGAAATTCATAAAAGTTTAGAAGAAACACCTAAAATGTACATCAGATGCTTTCTGTATATCAGACTGAAAAAAAACTAAAAACTAAATAAAAAGCCCAAAATGTAAAAACCGATAGGTTGGTTTTGTGTCTCACCTTAAATAACATATTTATCAGCAGTAACTGTATTCCTGCATGATAATGATACTCAATTAAAAGATAATACAATGTGACCTATTGGACTTTCATGTATTTATGCTGTACTTTGTGTAGGTGGAGGCTCAAGCTGTTGTAACATGCAGTCAGTGATGGGTAAAAATTAATACTACAATCATAAAGCCCTAAAGATTTTAATCTTTAAACAAATATAAAATAGAAATACAAAATACTTTCACATTACTTTCCTTAAAAATGAAGTAACATTTCATTATTTTTTTACTCAACCAACAATGCACTGAAGCTACATAATAATCGCCTCCATTTCCATGTTACAGACTGAAAAGTAACAAATAAATCCAAGCAAAAATAAATAAATATAGAAATTAATAAATGCAGTAAAAACCGGAAAAAATATACATAAAATAGATCAATCGAAAAATTTATTAATAAAAGTTTAAATGAAACACTTGCAATGGATTTTGGATACTTTATTATTATTATTTTTTTAAGTTTTGGGTAAAAAAATAATGTATTACAATCCTAAAGACCTAAGATCTTGATCTCTAAAAATCTAAAGTACATAAAACAATGCAAAAATAACATGACATATACTTTCACATTACTTATCTTAGAGTAACTAAGTAACATATTTATTATTATTAATTTATATTTTACTCAACCAATAATGCACTAAAGCTACATAAAACCTGCTTTCCTAATTTCCATGTAAAGTATTGAAAAGTAAAAAGAAATCCAAGCAAAAAATAAATGAATACAGAAATGAATAAATACTGTAAAAAAAATAAATAAATAAATAAATAAATAAACAACTATATAAACAAATAAAAAAATAAAAAAATAAATGAATACAGAAATGAATAAATACTGTAATAAAAATAAATAAATAAATAAACAACTATATAAACAAATAAATAAATCAAAAAATAAATGAATACAGAAATAAATAAATACTGTAATAAATAAATAAATAAATAAATAACTATATAAACAAATAAATAAATAAAAAAATAAATGGGAAAATAAATAAACAATAAAAGTTGAAAATAAAGCATCCAAATGCTTTATTTTCAACTTTTATTAATTATTTATTCATTCATTTATTCATTTTCAGCTTAGTCCCAATAGTAATCTGGGGTCGCCACAGCGGAATGAACCGCCAACTTATCCAGCATATGTTTTATGCAGCGGATGCCCTTCCAGCTGCAACTCAGTACTGTAAAACATCCATACACACTCATTCACACACTTACATACAGACAATTTAGTTTATCCAATTCACCTGGACTGTAGGGGAAAGCTGGAGCACCCAGAGGAAACCCACGCCAACACGGGGAGAACATGCAAACTCCACACAGAAATGCCAACTGACCCAGCCGGGACTCGAACCAGTGACCTTCTTGCTGTGAGGCTAGAGTGCTAACCACTAACCACTAAGTGCAATATAAAGAAGACTTTAATAACCTGTAATATTTGCCGCTCTCTGTCTGCAGTTCTGGATCGACGGCGCAGTAGATGGAGGTCTGAGCTCCCTGCACTGATGTCTTTGTGAAAGGCTTTGTGAACCACATGACGGCTTGTTGAGGTTTACTCAAGTGCCTCCACAGGTCAGTCTGAACCACACCCGGATGAAGAGAGTACGCTGTTACTCCAGTACCTGAACCACCCACACACACACACACACACACACACACACACACACACACACACACACACACACATCATGAGCATTATTATCTGGGAAGCCAACAATTATGCATCTGTGAAAATGTCATCGATATCATTAATATAAATGTACAGTTGAAGGCAGAATAATTAGCCCTCCTGAATTATTAGCCCCCTGTATGTCCTCCCCCCCCCAATTTCTGTTTAGCTGAAAGATTTTTTTCAACACATTTCTAAACATAATAATTTTAACAACTCATTTCTAATAACTGGTATCTTTTCCATGATGACAGTAAATAATATTTGACTAGATATTTTTCAAAATACTAGTATTCAGTCTAAAGTGACATTTAAAGACTTAATTAGGTTAAATAGGCAAGTTAGTGTAATTAGGCAAGTTATTGTTTAATGATGGTTTGTTCTGTTGACGATTGAAAAAAATATATATCTTGCTTAAGGGGGCAAAAACTTACCTTACAATGCTTATTAAAAAAATGTAAACTGCTTTTATTCTAGCCAAAATAAAACAAATAAGACTTTCTCCAGAAGAAAAAGTATTATAGGAAATACTGTGAGAATTTCCTTGCTTTAAAAAAAAAAAATGAAATCACAGGAGGGTAAATAATTTGACTTCAACTGTATTTTTTAATGTACTTTGTAGGATTTTTATATTTTATAGTTCTGTATTTTGTATTATAAAGTGTATTAACTGGGATTATTTTAGCAACGTTCATTATATATTTGGAATAGAAAAAAAATAAATGGATATTTTAATTTAATAGAAATAAAATAAAACTTAAATGAAATTGAAAAACAAGAAAAAAAGCTGATGATACAGAAACTAAAATCTAATTGACTGGCTGACTTTATTTATATTTTATAATGTTTTGTTTGACTTCTACTAAATTGATATTTACTGGGATTGTTTTAGCTTTAATTGTCATATCAGTGAAATAGAATATTGGAAGCTTAAATATAATATATGATAAGGTTAAATCAAACATCAATCTAACATTTTATAGAATCATTTTTCTAAACTATAAAGTTGGTTTAGATAAATAATGTGATTATTTTCACATCGATCATCGTTTTGGAATTGAAAAGTGGCAAGTTAAATGATGCAAATGCCACACATTAGTATGAAACTTATATATAATTTATATACATTTAGAAATTAGAGATTAATCAAAAAAAATATTCATCTGTTAACTAACATTTGATATATTTCATCAATTTTACTCAGATTATTGTATCTTCAATCTAGCTAAATAACCTAATTTAAAATAATATAAACAAATGCACAAAAATGTTCAGGGCCAAATTTTATATATATATATATATATATATATATATATATATATATATATATATATATATATATATATATATATATATATATATATATATATATATATATATATAAAACCGGTTTTAACCTGCTATCTAAAATTGTAAATATATTAAACTACTCTTACACAGCATTTTAAACAAAACAAATCACAACCTGTATAGTACAGTAACTTTTAAATTGTATACTTTTCACACAAATACAGAAATAAAAGAATAATATTTTTGTTTTATTTATATTTACTATATTTTGATATTTAATGTGAAAATGAATATCCTTGAGCACATTATATACAGTTGAAGTCAGAATTATTCGCCCCCCTTTGAATTAATTTTATTTGTTTTAAATATTTCCCAAATGATGTTTAACAGGACAAGGAATTTTTCACAGTATGTCTGATAACATTTTATCTTCTGGAGAAAGTTTTATTTGTTTTATTTCGGCAAGAATAAAAGAGTTTTTAATTTTTTGAACACAATTTTAAGGTCAAAATTATTAGTCCCTTTCAGCTATATTTCCTTTCGCGAGTCTACAGAACCAACCATCGTTATACAATAACTAGCCTAATTACCCTAACCTGCCTAGTGAACCTAATTAACCTAGTTAAGCCTTTAAATGTCTCTTTAAGCTGTATAAAAGTGTCTTGAAAAATATCTAGACAAATACTACTTACAGTCATCATGGCAAAGATCAAATAAATCAGTTATTAGAGACGAGTTATTAAAACCATTGTGTTTAAAAAAGTTGAAAAAAATCTGCTCTCCGTTAAACAGAAATTGTAGAAAAAAATGAAACAGGGTGGCTAATAATTCTGACTCCAACTGTATGTATATCACATTATTTCTGTAAATATCAAATTCAGAAACTGACCTTCTAGTCTTTTGGCCAGGGAGCGAGTGAACAGAACGTTTGCCAGTTTGCTCTGACAGTAGGCTTTCTGCTTATCATAATTCTTCTCACTGTTGATGTCCTCTAGGTTTATGGTCCCCCATTGATGTGCTGTGGAGGAGACATTAATGATCCTCGCTGGCGCTGATCTCTTTATCAAATCCAATAACAGGTACGTCAGCAGGAAGTGACCTACAGGAAGAAGAACAGCTTTGCTGTATCACGACTTGCACTAAAAAAATGATGTTTGCTGTTTGTTCAAATTACTTATTTAAAATCAGCTGAAACAACTAAATTCTTAAGCTTTTTGGGGCACAATCTATTTGTTTTATGTTCAATCCAATTAAACTTGTAAAGTTAACATAAGTTAACTTAATTCCTTCATGTTGTCCTAACACAAATCGATTGTGTAAAACCCAGCAATTTTTACAATTTCTCTTAGGTTTGCTTTGTTTCAGAAAATTGACATGTGCTTACCCATGTGATTCACTCCTATTTGCATTTCAAAACCATCGGCTGTCTTTCCGTAAGGACAAACCATCACACCGGCGTTGTTGATTAAGATGTTGACTTGTTTCTCCTCTGAAAGACAATACAGATGCATCTATGTTTCCATCCAAAAATGCGAATAAACTTTATGCGCAAAACTGGATTATCGCATAAAAGTTGTGCGAATGAAGCATGGTTTCCATCCAACGAGTCAAAGCGAACAAAATCGTCACTTCCTGATTATCTGGCGCCAAATATCAACAGTAAAAACTGCATTTGCAGCAGTTGGAGAAGCTGCATCAATCTTTTCTAAATGAATGCGCCTCAGAAGACAATCCTGACAAGCAGTGAGCGCGCAGTGGCGTTTGAAGGTGTCAAGACGCGGAGCACAGGCACTCTTGATTCTGGAGGTCATTAACAATATAATAACATTAATACTGAAATGGTAAGGCGGTTTATAATGACCAAAACAACATTTCAGATGTTTTATAATGTGCTCAGCCTGACGTTTTATCCATTCACACACATTTTAAGCATCACATGATCTCTTTCAACAAAATCACATGACCTTTTTTAATGCGCATGCTGGAGTTTGTGCGGTAAAAGTGTTTCCATCGCAGTTTATGCGCATCTTTTCTTATCGAATAAAAAGTTTATCCTACCCAGTTAGGCGCATAAGTTTTTTATGCGCATTTTCAAAATGTATGCGCATCATGGCGTTTCCATCAACTATTTTTTTTAAGCGCATTTGCAAAATGCGCATAAAATAGGTGGATGGAAACATAGTATGCTATATGCAGTTATGGGCAAAATTATTTGCACCCTTGGTAAAATATATGCACATTTAGATTCTTGTGCACATGAAACAGTCAAAACCAACAACCAATCTTTCTGTGAAATAAAATCATTTTAATCAGAAATAAGTAAAGAATAATTGATGGCACGAAGCAGACTGGCCGTTACACCATTTGTGTGCATTATCTTCTAATAAGTCAATAAACAAGTGTCAAAGTGTTAAAAAAAACTATCAAATGATGATGTTTTCACTAATTTTATATTGTTTTATTTCAATGAAAAGATATTTTTGTGTGTTGTTAAATGAAATAAATCAGCATAAACAATACTTTTTTCCCAGCCTTCTTTGCTCTTATTATTACCAAGGTTGCAGATAATTTTAAACATGACTGGACGTAATTTAACATTAACACATGCAGGTGATCTCACCTTTGTTGATTTTCTCTGCAAATCCTCGGATTGATTTGGAGTCTGAAAGGTCAAGACTGCTAATAAAAACATCCTGGTTTCCAGAAGAATCTTTAACTTCCTTTAGCGCTGCTTCAGCTTTCTCCATATCTCTGCATGCCATGATGATTCGTGCTCCTGAGAAAAGCAGAAAGACAATAATCTTCCATCTGATCATATATTAATATAACATCATGGTAAAATATGGTTGCCCACCTCCAGTGTGCAATTTATACACTGACGATAGGGGGGTGGTGGGGGGTTCAACTTTTTATAAGTAGTTCGGTAATCCATGCTTCAGTGAATCAAATTTATGAATGTATTCAAATTACTTTAATAATTAATAATTAATTTATTAATAAAATGTATATGTTTTCAGTGTTTTGAAGTATATTTAGTGACTATTGTAGAGGTTACTGTAGGTCAAGTTATACAAATGATGTCTATTTTTTTTTTAGGCTACATGCAGACATAAACTTATTTTACAAGAAACGTGTTTTGTGAATACTTAAGATGTCTATCGGTGCTCTAGAAGTGCCAGTTTCAGACTGTTGAATGATATTTTTCCTACCATTGTTGGCGCAATTGAATGCATCACAGTGGTATGAACCTTTATGGGGGGGTGTGGGGGGTTGTATATCTATATTATACATTTTTTAATTATTAATATTTATGAAAGCTAATATTGAAGAAAGCTATTCCTTACTATTAAAGGGGCTGACCCCCCCATACATCTTTTTTGATGTCCTTCAGGGGGGATCAAGCGTTAATTAGGGGGGTCAATCCCCCCAAACCCCCCTGTAATTTGCACACTGCCTACCTCTCTTTGCCAGGTCAATAGCTGTCTCTTTTCCAATTCCAGTATTGGCTCCAGTAATTAAAACGGTTTTACCGTCAAGTCTGGCAGCAGATGACCAGGAACAAAACATATTTCTGAGGAGAAAGCATAAAGATAATGCAATAATTGTTCTCATATTGCGCAACTTATCAAACGGGCGTTGGTTTGATATGATTGAACTTGTTTTACATGTTCAGCGTATTTAATAAAACATAACCGTTGTTTATTACGATTATGTTCAGTCATATCTAGTTTGTAAAATCATCAAAATGTCTGAAATATTGAAAATCCTTTTACTTCACTTCCTCTGTACAGTAACTTGACAGGTTATTGGGTAATTAGTCAAGTGACATCTGTTGTAACGTGAAAAACATAAAACAGAGCTTACCTCATTGCTTGCATTTTGTTATGGGTTGTGCGCAGAAATAAATATATGAAAGTTTATGAAACAAATCAAATCGATCAACCAGAAAAACAAACTGAAAAAGCTCGCACTGTCATTGATGGGCGGGGTTATATGACGTATAATGATGTGATGTTATAGTTTGGGATTGGCCAAGGGCAAGAAACCCCGCCCTCAAATGGATGGAGATCGAAAAATAAATATATGTACATATTATATTTCGTTATAATTGTATATTAATTAATGACTTAATACGTTTTATGCTTATAAATTTAGTAAATGTCAACATTATACCTTTAGTGTAGGGGAAATGGAGAAAATGTATATATTTTACATCTGAAATTGAATAAATGATGTGCTTCTTGGGTTTCACCATGAGATGTCAGTAGATACACGGTAAGAAAACAAGCTAGAGTCTACACTGATACATCTTCAACTTAAGCTTGTTATATTAATGCGTATTTATTGTATAAAATAGGTCTGATTATATCAGTAATTTAGGAAAGAATTTAAAAATTATTTAAATAATTAAAACTACGTGATAGCAAATGTGTAAAACCTATTGGCCTGCAGTTTCAAGGGTTGTGGCAAATTATAAAGATTATGAAAAAAAAAAATCACAAAATCTTTGAACAAGTACTCAGCCAAACAAAAATAAATACAAAACTAACATAAAACGCTTTGGTGTTGCCAACTTTTTATATTAGTAAAGTATATAGATTAGAAATTACAACATTATTTTGTGGATTTTCCGGGCATCTGCTGTGTAAAATATATGCTGAAATAGTTGGCAGTTCATTCCACTGTGGCTACCTGTGAAATAGCGACTTAGCCAAAGGGAAATGAATGAATGAATATTTTGTGGATGCACTGTGATGCTTAAATATGACCTGGGACCACAAAAGCTGCCTCTTGTTGCAGAGGTATAAAATTAGTAAGAGCCAAAATTACATTGTATGGTCCAAATTTCAAAAAATTATCACAAATATGGTCAAACTGTAATTTTCACTTTGCATTCAAATTATTGACTGTTAAATGATTTTTTGTTTGCCAAAAAAATCAATAGAATAATAAGTAAAAACCATGTTCTACGAAGATATTTGGTAAATTACTGTAAATCTAAGAAAATCCCCTTTTTATCATGTATTGCCAATAACTAAGTTTATTATTAATAATAACATTATTATTATTGATAAATAATAATAATTAAGGTGGTTTTCTAAGTATTAAGATTTTTTGAACCATTTAATTTCTGATTTTTTAGAAGTTATATTTTGGCCTAATATTGTCCCGTCTTAGCCAAGTCTACATCAGTGGAAAATAATTAATTGGGCATTTGGGTAATGTAAAAATCTAAATTTAAAAAATAAATAAATATGCATCAAATGAATTAAGTGACTAAGCCAAAGGGAAATGAATGAATGAATGAATGACTCTTGTTCTAATGTCTGACAATATTGTTTGGAATATAACTGTTGCTCAATAAATTATATTTTAGTCATTTAAATTGAAAGGTCTTTTTGTTGCTAAGAAAAAACTAAATTATGGTAATATATAAAAAATGAGGGTATAGTAAACTTTTATTGTTTTGATGACAGAAATCTCTTTTTGTCTTTGACCTGCTTGTAAAACATTAAAGGGAAAATTTACATTTACTGCACACTCAAGTGATTCTAAACTTTTATGAGTTTCTTTCTTCTGTTGAACACAAAACAAGATATTATGAAGAATGCTGTAAATCTGCAGCCATTGATATCCGGAAGGAATAAAATACACTGCCTGACAAAAGTCTTGTCACCTATCCAGGTTTTAGGAACAACAAATAATAACTTAACTTCCAGTTGATCATTTGGTATCAGAAGTGGCTAATATGAAAGGCAAAGGCCTCTAGAGGCTTATTTTACCTAAACAAAAATGATCATGCCTTGTTTTTGTATTATTTAATTAGAATAGAAAGGTCTGACTTTGCTTTGACAAAAGTCTTGTCTCTTAACAGAAATAATGTACATAGAATATAATGTCATGCTGCAGTGAAGAAAGAATTAATATAGTGTATGACTCCCATGAGCTTGGAGGACTGCATTCATACATCTCTGCAGTGTCTCAAATCACTTATTAATAAAGTCATCTGGAATGGCAAAGAAAGTGTTCTTGCAGGACTCCCAGAGTTCATCAAGATTCTTTAAATTCATCTTCAATGCCTCCTCCTTCATCTTACCCCAGACATGCTCAATAATGTTCATGTCTGGTGACTGGGCTGGACAATCCTGGAGCACCTTGACCTTCTTTCAGGATCTTTGATGTGGGGGCAGAAGTATGAGAAGGAAAGCTATCTTGCTGAAGAATTTGTCCTCTCCTGTGGTTTGTAACATAATGGGCAGCACAAATGTCTTGATACCTCAATGCCATCCACTCTGCAGATCTCTCGCACACCCCCATACTGAATGGAACCCCAAACCATGATTTTTCCTTCACTAAACTTGATTTCTGTAAGAATCTTTGGTCCATGAGGGTTCCAGTAGTTCTTCTGCAGTGTTTGTGATGATTGGGATGTTGTTCAACAGATGATTCATCAGAAAAATCTACTTTCTGCCACTTTCCCAAATGATCAGCTAGAACACAAGTTATTATTTATTGCTCTTACTACTGGGATTGACGACAAGACTTTTGTCAGCTAGTGTACTACTATGGAAGTCAATGGCTGGAGGTTTCCAACATTCTTCAGAATATCCTCTCTTTATTCAGAAGAAGACAGAAATTGAAACACGTTTGGAACAAGTGGAGAATGAGTTAATTATTACAATTGTTTTATTGTTGAGTGAACTCTTTAAATAGTCATATTCTGTGACAAACGAACATGTATATTTGCAGCTTTTCTAGGTATCTCAATAAAAGTAAAGCATTTTGTTAAAGAGATAAACATTTTTTTCTGCGGATAAGATTTGCAAAAAAAAAAAAAAAAAAAAAACATGTCATGCCCCAGTTTATTTCTCAAACTTTCCTGAAAGTGTCAAAAGGTTGTCATTTTCCTGCATCACATATATTTTTAGCTTCTACACAATCTCTCTCTCTCTCTCTCTCTCTCTCTCTCTCTCTCTCTCTCTCTCTCTCTGTCTCTCTCTCTCTCTCTCTCTCTCTCTAACCCACCCACTCAATCTGTCAGGCTGTGAAGGCGAGATTTCAACTGTAATGCAGTTTCTCAAGAACAGCACTACTGCAGAAATTGCTCTCAAACATTCCCCAACGCATCTCTGGATGAAAATAGCCTGACATGTCTAACATGCCCAACTGCAAAGTTTCTTGTCTTGTAGTGACGTCCTTATTAGCAATTCAGCATTCGTGTGAATGCAGTGAATATGCACTAATATGCATCTAACGTGCAGATAAATAAGTACACCCTCTTTGAAAATGATTTTTATCCATTTCTCATTAAAAACAAACAATATATTATGACATGCACTTTCCGGCCACTTTGTTAGGTACACCAGTCCAACTGCTCGTCAGACCAATCACATGGCAGCAACTCAATGCATTTAGGCATGTAGAAATGGTCAAGATGATCTGCTGCTGTTCAAACCGACATCAGAATGGGGAAGAAAGGTGATTTAAGTGACTTTAACCAGGCATGGTTGTTGGTGCCAGACTAACGTCAGGATAACGCACCATGTCATAAAGCACGAATCATCTCAGACTGGTTTTTTGAACATGACAATGAGTTCACTGTACTCAAATAGCCTTCACAGTCACCAGAGCTCAATCCAATAGAGCACCTTTGGGATGTGGTGGAACGGGAGATTGGCATCATGGATGTGCAGCCGACAAATCTGCCGCAACTGCGTGATGCTATCGTGTCAATATGGACCATGAGGAATATTTCCAGTAACTTGTTCAATCTATGCCATAAATATTAAGGGAGTTCTAAAGGGAAGGGGCCCAACCCAATAGTTGTAAGATGTACCTAATGAAGTGGCTGGTGAGTGCATGTATTTTTAAATCCAGTAAAATAAGTGTTTGGTCACCTAACATCAGTAGAAAGAGGTCAAATGAGGTGTTGCAAAAAAGAGTAATTTCAGCTAAATGTATTACTTGTATGATTCTCTTTATATATCCTATTTATTAACATTTTATTTAATGTCCCTTATATTCATTTTGGTATTTGCACTCAGCAGCTGTTTTGTTTGATTAGTTCCAGTTTGGGCTTTGATATTGACTAATGAAAGATGTACAGCATCCTATAAAACAGGGGTGTCCAAACTTGGTCCTGGAGGGCCGGTGTCCCACAAAGTTTAGTTCCAACCCCAATCAGACACACCACAAGCTAATCAAGCTAGGCTTTCTAGAAACATCCTTGCAGGTGTGTTCAGGCAATTTAGAGCTCACATCTGCAGGACACCGGGCATCCAGGACCGAGTTTGGACACCCCTGCTATCGAAGGTATTAATGCAAGGTTTAGATCTGTAAGGGGTGTCCTCATTTATGTTGGAGACTAACAGGCCTACATAATGCACTAGAGGGCAGTGTGATCTTTTAAAATATCGGCATTTTTCCAGCCTTATTTATGACGACATTTATTAGTGATTTACGAAGTTATTCAGTACCTACTTGGGTGCTAACATGCGCTAAAAATGTTTATGACATCTTCAATTTTAACACCTGAAAGCACAAACACAGGGGCATCTGATCTGAAACAGGAAGTGCGCTGTCAGCCA